AGTTGGAGTACGTTCCCGGCGCCAGAATAGCAGTTTTCATTTTTCCCCATTGACTTAAAAATTTATCACGACTTATCACGAAAATGACCTGACCTCGTATGATCTTTAGGAAAAATCCGAGATATACAAATGGTGAGACTCATAATGGATACTAGATCCTGCAAGTTTCATTTCCCTGTGACATCTCCTCCGGCAGTGAGGGCGTTGCGAAGTTGCGACATCTGAAGACCGTGCAGAGGTTCACTTATGACGTCATAGGTCAGTGACCTGACCTGACCCAAAAATGCGGTTGGTGTCAAAGGATCCGGCTTGAATCAAAGGTCAGATATGCCAAGTTTCAGCTCTCTATCACCAGCGCGTTCGGAGCTATCGCGAAAAAAAAACCTATGGGGGGGGGGGGCGGCACCCGCCTCCCCTTCGGCCGGCGAGGGTTAATCGGAAAATTGCCACCCACGACCCCTCGTTATGTCCTTGAAGTCATGTCAGGTCATGGAAGGCCTCCAGCAGTTTTTTTCCAATAACTTCTGATAGAGACATGCGACATGCCTGAGCGATGAAAACACCTTAGATGATTTCAGTTTGACGATGCAAATCGACTGATATGCAACATGACCTTTACCAGTCAGGTCATGCCCTGGACCTGAGCTCAAATTTCCCAAATGACATTTGAATGTCAAATTATAGTTCATTCGACGCATCTCGACGAGAGGAGCACAGTACTAAAAAAAAAAACAATGTCATAACTTTCGTGAGTCAATAATTATTACAGTAGAAAGGTTCCTCATTAAAACAGCTCAGTAGAGGGGCGGAGGGGGTCCACTGTCCCCTCCAACCCTCCGCGGCCCGGCACGGGTTAAACAAGTTGTGCTCTGGAGGTTAAGCCGTTGATGTTAGGTAAAGTCTGAGGACTTTATAGGAACGCTATCGAATGCGCTTTTTCGCGGTGCTGTAGTTCTATTCTTCCCCGGGTTATGCGCCAGTTTGTCAATAAATGTTGAAACAGACAACATTTCACCCACATTTCACCTTTGATGACCTCTGGTCACCTGTTATTTGACATTTGACTTGAGCTAACCAAAGTACGGTTAACCAACTAACCCAAGTAGTTTTTGACACTCTTCCGAATGCCGCTTACCGCGTGTCGCTACGTGGCCCAAGTAGCCAAGTTATAGGGGTCGGGAGGGGGGTTCAAACAACCTCAGCCCGGCGCCGATTAAGGGAAGGCACTATCATTTTGGGGGCGCTGCAGATATGCTAAGGGACGACAACATCATTTTGAGGCGCGCCACCAATTTTTTAGGGCACTTTAACCACTTTGAGGGGCACCACCGACACTGTGAGGAGCGCAATTATCTCGTTGAGCGTTGAGGGGTAGCACCATTACATTGAAGAGCGCCATGTGAGCAGTGATGTGGGGCAAAATGACAATGAGGAGCGCCTCCGATACTTACAGAAGAGACGCCACCATTACTCGGGGGGGGGGGGAGCAACATCACTTTTATTTTGAGGACGCCACCTATATTGTAAGGGGCGGCACTGCAGTGCCACCGGTAGTATCCGCGGCGGTCCTTAAAGTTACATGTAACTTTAAGGACCGCCGCGGATACTTTAAGGGGCGGCTCCATGATATGGAGGGGCGCTACAGATCGTTAATGGACGGCAATAGGTATGATATTTAGGGACTCCGATACTTCGAAGGGCGCCACCGTTTGTTTGAGGGTGACATCATCACTTTGAGGGGCACCACCGATACTGTTCGGGGCGCCACCGACACTATAAAGGGCGCCACCGACACTATAAGGGGCGCCACTGACACTGCCAGGAGCACTTTGACCGGCGTTACTATCACATTTAAGGGCGCCGTGAGCACATTGGGGGCGGCACCATGACGTGGAGGGGCGTTACGGATGGTTTGAGGGGCGGCAACATGACATTGAGGAGCGCCTCCGACACTTCGAGGGACACCAGCATTTCTTTGAGAGGCGGCACCTTCACTGAAACACGAGAACAGAATAGAATCTATGTGGTGCAATTGACTTTTGTGCGATGGGCGCTGTGCTATAATTTATATTTGTCGTTCAACGACGCCAGATGCGCACGTGTGTGATGTGAATGTTGTCTCACAGTGCCGCCGGAGCCTCCAGTTTTGTACGACAGCTCGGGACAACAGATTTGACTTTTGAGGAGACACCAGTACCACCGACACTGTAAGGGGTGGCACCATCATTTTGAGGGGCGCCACGGATGGTTTGAGAAGCGGCACCATTATGTATATGGAGGGGCGCTACAGAAAGTTGGAGGGCGGCAACATTGTATTGATGAGTTCCTCCAAAACTTTGAAGGGCGCCACTGACACTGTAAGGGGCGGCACCAGCACTTTTAGGGGCGGCACCAGCACTTTTAGGGGCGGCACCAGCACTTTTAGGGGCGGCAGCATCATTTTGAGGGGCGCCACCGACGGAGACACCATCACATTTAGGGGCGCCACTGACACTTTGAGGAAGGCACCATCACATTGAGGGGCGCCACCGATACTGAAAGGGGCGGCATCATCTTCTTGAGGGGCGGTATCATCACATTGAGGGGCTCCACAGATGCTTAGAAGGGCGGCACCATTACATTGAGTGGGGCTACTAACAGATTTAGGGGCGGCACTGTCACATTGAGTTGCGGGATCATCACTTTCTATAGACGGCTGCTTCACTTTAAGAGGCGACATTATCATTTCGGAGGGCAGCAGCCTCACTATGAATGACGGCACCTAGCCTGCATGTGCGTGCTGCATCCTAGAGGGGGCGGCAACTGGGTCGGCAAACGGCTGTCACTGGGTCGGCATTCTCCGTGACTGGGTCGGCAATTGCCGACCCAGTTAACATGTTAAAATACGCCCTGGTTGCGTTGACCCTGCCCTCTACCCTCCGATCGCGTGACTCCTGTTCTATGACAAAATTTGGAGTCCAAAGTTTGGCGTGCACATACAACCACGCACGGCCGCTTTGTCTATGATCTTTGATCCAAGGTCTGAGGCATGGGGTTATTCTTACGGTACGGGTTTGGCCGACAACTTTCGCCAGGTTATTACATGGTACCACAGGTCATAATTTTGTAGTGGTTATGGAACGAATTGATACAAAAATGGCGCAAGAGCGACTCACGCTATTATGTTCGTTAGCAATATGACCAGATTTAGAGGGGAATTTTACCCAATGAACAGCAGTAGCATGACGTCATGCGTGTCTTGATTGGACGAGTATGCTTATCGACTTTTATGAGCCAAAAAAAGTACACAGTCAACTGCTCCAATGCGTAAAATCGTTGCGTAAAACCGTTAATTGTTTGCAACGCTTATATTTTTATATATTTTGAGTCGCGACACTGTAAAAGGGATTGGTGGGGCAAATTTATATTCATTATCAGTGATAAAATATTGACAGAAACAGAACGGATCTACTGAATGATCAGGGTCTGATTCCACCAAACTCCAAGATTTGATATAAATATTTTTGTCATCTGTGTGTTTATTTTTTTATTGGCCTTGAACTATGAGATCATTTCTGAAGAATTGAAGTGAGTTAATCCAAATATGTCCTCCATACTTGCATTGAGAGCTTATGGATCAGACAGTAATGATTCAGGAGAGGATGAAGATGCATTGACTGCCCATCTCAAACCAATCACATCTTCAGAAAGCTCGACTTCAGTCAAAACGCTTCAGATATGCTCTGCTCCAACAGTAGCACCAGGGGTGAGTGAGTTTTTATTGCCATGCCTTGTTTTTTGTGAGATTGTGTGGGTTTCAAGTCTCGGGCTGGTGTTGGCTGGTGTGGATTTGCCATTCAAGCTGGATTGGCTCATTGACCACTGTGTTACCATGCTTCCCAGTCCAGATAGAATGTTGGCCAGACTGCATAGTATGGCAATTTAGTCAGGGTACTGTAGGTGCAGAATCGCTGAGCTAGAGCACATTGCTATGCAGATTCACTGGTGTCCTGCAGTTTTTGCATCAGGTGGTGCATGCCCCTACATGATACCATGCAGAAATCCTGTGCTGGCTTACCATCAAAAGAAATGATGGGTGGGAGGCACAAAGTGGTTTTACAGGAAATGATTGACCTTTTATTGCAGTTTTCATATTCAAAGTGCAGATATCTAATTTAGTGGTAAAAATTATGGGTCTTGTTTGGTATGGGCTGGGGCAGATTTTCAACTCTGACTGGTGTGGCTGGTGTTGCATTGTCACTCAAGGTGGCATAGCTCCTCAACTGGAATTGAATTAATACCTACCCTTTATTGTTTGTCTTGTGTTGCAGCTGTAAGTGATTTGATAAAAAACTTCAATTTCAATCTGTGTGTGCATTTCTCTTTGAAGGGAATATTCAACTTTAAATTTTCTTCAATGCAATTGGAATGCCTACATTTTATCAGAGTTATGACATGATTGATAAATAACTAAATTAAGAACATTTGCAAAAGGAAACTTACTTCTTAAGTTAAGAACAGTATGTTTGCTCAGTGATGTGAGCAGATGACAACACAGCTTCCATTGATCAGTTTTCAAAGTTCATTAGGGTCATCAGTTGACTTGCTGGTACAGGGGCTGATAAGCTGTATGTGTATGGCTCTCGCGAGATTAAGCGGTAGGTTTTGCACTTTTACATTTCCGGTTATATCTCAGAAACTAGTCGATGTACGATGAAGCCATTTTACACGATCATGGCCGGCTTGTGAACCAACAAGTCGATCACATCTTCAACACTTAGAAGCTTAAGACGACGAAGATATAGCCTGAAGTACTCTAAATTTTTCTAGGTGCAAAACCTACCGCTAAAACCCGCGAGACCTTGACCTGTACATAATGTGACTTACACAATAAGCCTTACATTAAGGCTATTTACATTACCCTTTTATGTGTGTGCTTTCCCTAAGCTTCCTTCCTGTGATGCAGAGCGTTTCTGCCATGAACGTGCAGTTGTGACGAGATGTTGCCCTGTCGCCGTCAGTCGGGCCTGGACAGCCGGCGGCACATCGACCCCAGTGTGAAGGAGCTCGAGTACAACCCGCGCTATGACGAGCTGTTCGCGCCCGTGCTCGGGCCGGCCAACCCGGCGCAGACGCAGCAGATGCGCGCCGAGCGCAACACGCTGGCCGGCTATGTGGAGCCGGCTCACTTCAGCGCCTTCCAGTTCGAGAACCAACGCCGCACATTCACCAGCTTCGGTAAGACGGTGGACCAGTCCTTCCTCTTGCCCTGCATTATGTCTTTAGCCAGTGGTCGGTTCTACCCGTGAAAATAATTGTTTAATGCCGCAGTAAGAACTGACACCCCGTGCTGATATCCCGTAATGATTTGGGCCATGGCTTAGTTTGTATATCATGCATTTATTTTGATCGTATGAGTGAACAACTCTAAATGATTGGCTTTCATTGACCGAAGTTGTCTACCTATACCATGCCCGTGTCTGAGAACGCCCGTCGCGTGTGTCCAGGTTACGCGGTGGACCCGAGCACAGAGGCGGTGACCGATGACGGAGCGGCGCGCATGGTGGGTGCCGCCACCGCCTCCACCAGCGCCGACGGTGCGCACACCGTCTTTGAGAAGCCCAAGGAGAAGCGGCCGCTCGACAAGCGGAAGCGCGAAAAGAACTCGGACGCCAGCGACATTGACGGCTACCTGGGGCCCTGGGGCGGATTCGTCGACGAACAGAAGGTCATGAAGCCCTCTGAGGTAATAGTCCGACACAATGCATTCTGCTTTATGCTGCGTCTGTATCTCTCACTCCAGTGATATTGTTTAGTTTTCATATCAATGCATTAGCGCCGTCGCTGACCCTGCTCTGACTCTGCCGCCCTGCCTGCTCCCTGACTCTGCCCTGCCTGCTCCCTGACTCCGCTCTGACTCTGCCGCCCTGCCTGCTCTCTGACTCCGCTCTGACTCTGCCGCCCTGCCTGCTCTCTGACTCCGCTCTGACTCTGCCGCCCTGCCTGCTCCCTGACTCCGCTCTGACGCTCCCCCCTCCCTGCCCTCTCCCAGGAGGAGCAGGCCGAGCTGGACATCATCACGGCCAAACGTCAGAAGCGCGGCAAACAGACGGACGACAAGCCGATGGAGGAGCGCACCATACTGCACGTCAAGGACGCCTACGACTACCAGGGCCGCTCGTACCTGCACGTGCCGCAGGACGTGGGCGTCAACCTGCGCTCGGAGGACCCGCCCGAAAAGTGCTTCATCCCCAAGAAGCTGCTGCACACCTGGCAGGGACACAGCAAGGGCGTGCACGCCACACGCTTCTTCCCCAAGTCGGGTCATCTTATTCTCTCCTGCGGCATGGACTGCAAGATCAAGGTGAGGATCGGTATGGTGCTTCACGGATCGGCCAGCTGCGTCGACGTGAGCTGGATGGTGCAGCTGGTGGGCTGAGTGTGGACACGCTGCATTCATCTTCATGGGGGTACCTGAAAATCGGCCCCGACTTTGTTAGCTTTACATGTCAATGTGACACGTGCATACTGGATAATGCTCCGCTAATAGTAACCCGATTTGACGTGTTGTGTTACGTCTTGAACTCTTTTACCGTAAATAATCGTTTCGGTGCCGTTCTGGTGCTGTTTATCGTTTCGGTGTTTCCCATTCGCTGCTCTGTTTGCCGTTGCGATGCTGTTTTCCGCTTTTCCCTGACCGAGCCCCTGGACCGTGCTTCCGCAGCTGTGGGAGGTGTACAACCAGCGGCGCATGCTAAGGACCTACCTGGGACACCGGCAGGCCGTGCGCGACATCTGCTTCAACAACGACGGCACACAGTTCCTCTCGGCAGGTCCGTACAACGATCACCCTCGTGGCCGAAACGGCGGTTTGATGAGTACATGTCGATCCTCGTAGCCGCCGGCTGTCGTAGATACAGGCAGTAAACGACAGTTCCGGAGTTACCTTAGTGGCGTAGTAGTAACGTAGTTTCAGAAAGCATCTAAGATGATTTTAGAATTACCTGAAAAGCTGCGCTTTCCTACGTTTCCTCGCCGTCCGTTTAGTCGTGATGACCTCAGGATAACGTAGAGACCTCGCTGTCAATGTGCCCGTAAACCCCAAATCGCCAGCTTATGCATAGTGCAGCTATTCATCCATCGTATGAGTGTATCCCTCTGACTGTCCTTCGTCTACAGGCTACGACCGCTACATAAAGCTGTGGGACACGGAGCGCGGCGAGTGCATCTCCCGCTTCACCAACAAGAAGGTGCCCTACTGCGTCAAGTTCAACCCGGACGAGGACAAGCAGCACCTCTTCGTGGCCGGCCTCTCCGACAAAAAGATCCTCTGCGTGAGTGACGTGATGAGTTGACAGCAACTTCTCAATGTGTTCAATATGTGTTTTGGAGTTGCAGTTTGACAGTGAATAATATAATAAGATAACGCTTACGACAGTTATAAGCATGATATCGATAATTCAGCTCAATATTCTCAGATGAACTGTGGTTAAGATCAGTATAGTTGTTACCAAAGCTACTTTCCTCTTTTGGTGCCATAGGTAATAGCAACATCTGTAATAATTCGTGACATTGCCCAGTAACATAGCACGACCCCTTGAGCACTATCGAGCGCATTTCATCAAAGGCCTTGCGTTTGTGAGAGGAAGTTTTGTCACTTTGTGTGCACCACTCAATCTTCTCCCTCCTCAACCCCCCCCCCCCACAGCAGACCTCTGGTGACACTGTGTTCCCCCTCCGTCCGCCTGCAGTGGGACACCCGTTCCGGGGAGATAACGCAGGAGTACGACCGGCACCTGGGCTCGGTCAACACGATCACCTTTATCGACGAGAACCGGCGCTTCGTCTCCACTTCGGACGACAAGAGTCTGCGCATCTGGGAGTGGTACGTCCTGGCGACGGTGGTGCCTGTGAATGCTGTAGGTTCCCCACAGTCCGCGTGCCGTGAGGTGCTTGGTGTTGCTCGGCTACCGTTTGTAGATAACAGACGGGTTTAAGTCAAGAGTTGCAACCGTGTCTGCGATAACAGCTGACCGTTCGCGTAAGGCACATTGTCATGATGGGAAGTGATTTGCGGTTTCGGACCCAGGCCAGGTGCCGGCTCGGCTGTTGGCTAGTGGAACTGGTTACTGGAGACCCCGCCTGTCCTGAACTGTCAGTCTGATACAGACCCATCTTCATCTTCATCTTCATCTTCGTGTTATCGGGTCAAGAGGCCCGCCTGCTGTTTGTGTGACTGACATCCTATCTGCCGCCGCAGGGACATCCCGGTGGATATGAAGTACATCGCCGACCCGTCCATGCACAGCATGCCGGCCGTCACGCTCTCGCCCAACGGCAAGTGGCTGGCGTGCCAGTCGATGGACAACAAGATCTGCATCTTCTCGGCCATCAACCGCTACAAGCTGCACCGCAAGAAACAGTTCACTGGACACATGGTGGCCGGTTACGCGTGCGGCCTCGACTTCTCACCGGAGATGAGGTACGCCGTACGGGTTAAATCAAATTGTTTTTAAAAACTTAAAACGTTTGTTTTTTAAATGTTTCGGTGGACGAGCCCACACAAATCAAAAGTGTAGCGGATAAAGGAACGTTTGTCATACACGATACACGATAAATCATTTACAAACGATTACATACACGATAATTACATACACGAATATCATCGATGAATGTTGAATACGTTATTGAAATAACTACGTTTTAACGTTAACTTGAGAAGTGTCAGTTAAAGGTCATTTTGTATTAAAGCCTTATGGCTAAGATAAATACTATTAGATAGGATAAGTACATATATCTTACTGTCAGTCCATGAATATTATATTTGTAAAAAGAAACATGAGTAAATAAGATGAATTAGGGTTTAATGCGACAGCGTAGTTTTCATGCAGTTTTCCGTGTAGTGAGCGCATAAAGTGCACGCTGTGATCAATTCATTCCCTAGCAATGCCCTGTTTCTCACGGGCGCCATTGACTACATTCACTGCACGCTTACTAATAACTGCATCGTCTCGTCTCGTCAGCTACCTGGTGTCGGGCGACGCCGACGGAAAGTGCTACGTCTGGGACTGGAAGACCACCAAGCTGTACCGCAAGTGGAAGGCGCACGACGGCGTCTGCATTCAGACCATGTGGCACCCGCACGAGACGAGCAAGCTGATCACGGCCGGCTGGGACGGCGAGATCAAGCTGTGGGACTGAGCGCGCGCGGTCACTCGGCCCCGATCGCTGTGGGCCTCCGATCACCGAGATACGCGATATACACATCGTTCGTCATATGTATTTTCCCAGTGTCATTGTCACCCGATGATCGCAGCCCTGCCATGTTACGAATGCGGAATACAGGATGAGTGGCCCGCCAGTCTGACGGTATCACAGATTACCCCGGTCGCGCTGCCACTTACAGCACTCACGGTACAGTGCCTTGGGACGCGGGGCGGCGTCATGAGTCGTCATACACCTTCCAGAGGGCGGCGGTGCCGTCTGCCGAGCCGCTGGCCAGTAGCGCACGCGCCTTCCACAGCCGGACCGGCCGCGGCGCGAACTGGACGCACTCGACGGTGGCCGTGTGGTGTTCGAGGGCGGCGAGCAGGCGCAGCCGGCGGCCGGAGACGAGCCGCAGCCGGCCGTCCCAGCAGCCGAGCGCGGCCAGCCGGCCGTCGGGCCGCAGCCGCACGCTGGCCACGCCCGGGTTGGTGATGGCGGCCGGCGGGCCGGCCTGCAGACGGCCGGCGGCGCCGACAGAGAACGAGGGCACGGCGGTGCCGGAGGTGCCCACCAGACCGCGGCCGTCCGCCGCCGCGTCCACGCACATGGGCGTCTCGGTGGTGACCTGGAGCCGGTCGGCCGGCCGGCAGGGCTGGGCCGGGTCCCAGAGCAGCAGGCCGCCCGACTCGTACACGGCCAGCAGGCGCGCGCCGGCGGCACCCGGCAGTGGCGCCAGCGCCATCACCGTGCCGAGCTCGGCGGGCGCCGCCAGTCGGCCGGCCTCGGCGCCCGAGCGCGGGTCCAGCAGCGCCACCTCGGAGGCCGGCTCACTGGGACAGGCCAGCCGGCCGCCGACCACCGCCATCTGACAAACACACGGCAGACGCGGTCTGAAAACTGAGCTCAGACACTGCACACGGGCAGCTGGGGAAAGGACGACATATTGTTCCGAATGTGAACGCATGGAAATGAAATTAGAAACCGGTCACGAAATAGCATCACAATACCGATTGGAGTTCCCGAAGGAACTCCAATAAAGCCACAGGGCCGAGGCATATCGTCCCGATTGGTCGACATACCCGACAGAACCCATGATGGCTGAAGGGCAGTGAAGCTACAGGCTGCTGGGAATCCACGTCCCACAGGCGGATGGCGTCGTTTCTGCCCTGGGTGACCACGTGGCCGCTCTCTAGCTGCTCCACGGCACGGCAGGCCGAGCTGTGCGCTGCCACCGACCAGCGCCGCTCGCAGCTCTGTGGGCAGACGACGGGCCACGTGGCCAGTCACCTGGGGTCTTTGTTAGGGCGAAACCAATTGATTAAGGTTCACTCTTTTACTGGGTACTAAAGCTGATGTTAGCAGAAGGCCTAACAAATCGAACTACCATTGACACTGTTTACCTCAATCGCCAATGTACCGATTTACATAGGTAGTGGTCAGTGACAGACAAGACATAAAATACCTGAATAGTGAATAGTGTAATGTGCGATTACCTTCAAGTCCCATACTGTCAGGTTTCCATCCTGACTGCCTTGAGCAAGATATGCTTCATCATGAAAAACTAAAAAATTCAGTGCTGTTACCAAAGCTCCATCACTCTTGAAGTAATGCAATGGGGGTGGTGGTGGTTTCTTGGATGAGTCAACAGACTTCATGTTAACCTTAAAGAAAAATAAGAGTTCTTATTTTAAGCTTCTAATTTCTTGATTATAAAGTCAATGAATGTGAAAAACAACAACACAATTTCTTTATGGACCAAATACCACACCCACCAATATTTTTGTGTTCTAGAACACTTTCTTTTGCTGTCACAGCTTCACACATTTGTTCGTAAGTACTAAGTACCGGTGAGTTCTTACTTAAGCAGAAAATGCTGAATAGAATGAACAGAATCTTCAGGAAAAAGTTTGTCTTTGCTGAGCAGCTAATGTATCATATTGGCAAATTTCCTTCGTCATTCTTTAATCGAGAAGTTTACTTTTTGATGACGTCAAATTCATTTATTGGTAGTTTTATTGATTTTATCCGACACAATAAAAAAGTTCAAGTAATATTCATATTTTTTGTTTTTTTGTTACAATAATTAAAAACAAAATATCGTTTACCGAGCTATATCAACATACATAAATTACACAGCGTAATATATTATCAATCTTTTACTTGTTGATCACCTATTTATTGATGCTTTCTTTGATAGTTTGGAAGTGAACCGATTGCATAGCGGACTCGGAGGCGAAAAATAATAATTATTGGAGACTTGCGTTGCGTTGCTTCTGGATTCTGGAAGATATAACGCTAAGAGAATACAGTGTTACAGGCTTGATATACTTTCCATTTTTAAGCGGGCTGCTGATACTTAACTTGTTAATGGTCGCTGAAAGCCACCCTCTGACCTTGCCAGGATCAAGATTGCGGCAATAATGGCATCAGCAAGTGGCGGAGTCGAGTGGAATTCTATCGTAAAACCGATTTTAGCTGCATCCTATGGATCTTTCAATAAAAATGACCTGCCTGAATTCATAAGATCAGTCATTAAAAGGTGAGTTTGTTCATTTACTTACCAATTTTTAAGGCTCGGCACAGAAATATTATGAAAGTCTCAAACCTAAACCCTGCAACCTACCTACCAGTCTACAACCTACTATCCTACATCTTACCAACCTACACACCACTCAGAAGTCAGACTTCATCTTCATATTACATATATGAAGCAAAAGTAAAATAGACAAGATATGTTTCAGTGATTCTCTAGAGTTAGTTGAAATAATGTAATTCTGTAGCTGGTTAAGCTTTGTTTTAACATTGTTAGGTATACAATATATTCACTGTGCAAGTTTAAGAAGTAAAGAACATTAGTGGTAACAATGCCAATGAAAGAGAAAACAGTCATCAGTATATATCAATTTTTATCTACTCACTTGCACATAATAGACTATCAATACAAGCTTTTTCATTGCTGTCAGGTGATAATTTAAATTCCCTGCTGTAATGATAAGCTGGTTGCTAGTAAATAATTATTTTCACCTTGATTGATTGCAAGGTCAGCTACCTTGTCAGTGTTAAAGTATCAGTCTTACTTGCCACTTGAATAAGAATATTGCAGACTTGAAAGCAAATCAATATTATCAATATTATGCATGCAAACTGTGTTAGATAAGAGCTGAAAGTTTTCTTTACTTCAGCTGCAGTGTAATTTAAATGTTATCCATTTTCTTTTTCAACATTCTTTTGTGCCACTAGGTGCATGGAATCTGAATCATAGCCAGGGATAGAGTAGACTGAAGTGCTGCATGATTGTGCCATCTCTGAAGCTAAGATCATGAACTTCAGTGGCTCTGTTATAGTGATGTTTTGCAGGAAACATAGAATATGGCCAACCAATGCTATATTCACAGATCCTAGCTAGTCACACATTAAAACATTTTAAAGACTCACCTTTCCTGAGGCATCCATTCCAAATAGGCCAGACTCAAGAGAAGCAAAAAGAGGCTGTGGTGGAGTGAAGAGTCTATAGATGTAATTTATGATGCTTGCCTCTAATTTGGTGTAGATGATCTTGGGTGAGACGAGAACCCACATATCTTTTGGGATTTTGAGCCTGTGCTTTCTGCTGTTTTGCAGTGAGGATGACATCATTAACCACGGCGCCGAGTACGACACGTTCTACTCGACGTTTGCGCTGCTGGCGGCCGACTACATCGCTCAGAATGCCGCCGACCGTAAGTAGTTGGCGCTGGGAGTGTCGGGCCGACCGTATGTCCGACGCCGGGAACGGTGCGACCGACCTAAGGAAGGATTTGACGCCGGGAGTGGCCCAATCGGCCGTAATATTGTATAAAGAGCCGTGATTGACGGAACCGACGGGAAGTATTTTGCGGCGGAATTGCCAGGCCGACTAGAAGTATCTGACGCTGGGAGTGTCAATCTGACAGTAGATATATGACACCGAGAATATCGGAATCGGAATCGAGGCCGGAAACATTACCGGCCTCGACGAGGCTGACCGTAAGGATCAGGCGCCGGTAGCTGCCCGATCGACCGCAAGCTTCGGAATCCTATCTGCCCACGGTGAACCCTGACGTGAGGCATTGTCAGTATCGATTAACACATAACATTCCTAACCGATGATCAATTTTATTCACTTTTAGCTTGCTATATGACGAGTTAAAACTGAAGCGGTTCATGTCGCATTTCGTTCTTTTTGCCGTAAAACAGCTGTTGAGAGAATATGCTTTGTCCGCCTTCCGATCGTGTTATCACAATCATGCGCAGCCTACGGTCAGTGTGCGTCCCGTGATCTCGTGTTCAGTACCTATGCCCGCCGTCCTGTTAATGATGCTGCTCCTCCGCTGTCCCCGTTGGGCGTCCCACCATTGTTGCCCTATCGCCCGACCGGTGACCCCACGTCTGTGTCCGGCAGTGCTACCCAGTCAGATGGGAGGCGCCTGCGCGGCGGCGCGTATCCTGGGCGCGCACATGCTGCGCAGCCTGTCGGGCGGTAGCCGTCAGACGTCTCCGCTGTCGCGCGGCCAGCTGATGGACGGCCTGCGGCTGCTCTGCCAGGGCGGCGGTCTCGAGCACTCGGACCACGTCACGCTGGTGGCAGCCATGAAGATGGCCAAGCTGCCGCCGCACATCCGCACCAGCGTGCCAGGTATGGCGCGCACCCTATATGCATGTCACCCTCCACATCCTTACCAGCATGCCAGGTAGACCACCGATCCTACAGGACTGGGTGATCATATATCTTACCGTACAGCCGTTCTTTGTCCATATAACTCGCACAAACGTACCCAGCGTCCCAGGGAGGCAGCCGGTGTAGTTGTAACTGAGGTAGGTAAACCCATCGAACCACGGAGTTGCGAGCTGTACTACCATCTCATTCACTTGCCATATCTGGGTGCTAACCTGGCCACTGACTCTGCGTACAGCGGAGAAGGAGAACGCGACCAAGACGGAGCCGAAGCGGACGCGCGTGGACCCGTCGGCGGCGCTGCTGGACCACCTGTCGGCGCCCATGTACAACCTGGCCAGCGGCGGCGAGTCGAACGACGCCACAGACGGCGCCACCTCCGGCCAGAAGGTCAAGGTCAGTCGGGACTCTGGTGGTCAGGGTCAGTCGGGACTCGGGGCAGCAGGGCGAGGTCAGTTGAGGAGTCGACCAGTCGGGAGTCCGGGACTCTGGTTAGAAGGTAAAGGTCAGTTACATCGTAACTTCAGCCAGCAAGTCCAGGTTAGCCATGACCCCATCTCAAGATCGTTATCGTAAATGGTCGTAAATGCGTACCACCTGACCCACTGTCAATCTGACGTTCTCGGCGAGACAAAAACGGGGTAACAGTCTCCGGCATGTGATCTGATCGATTTGAACTTTACTTGACAGGTCACTTGTGTACTTGATTCTTATCGTAAGGGGCAAACATTACCCACTGATACGTCTTGGCCAATCTTGTGCAGTGGTCTTATCTGCCATATCAATGCTGAAGTCAGTGATATTACTAATTGGAAGAGGTTTCAAATCATGCATAATTCACCATCATTGGTAGCGCGTATCATCGTCGCTTGACTACTCACCCATTGGAGAGCAGACGGCAGTCAGAGTCTCGAATACTCCTATGCCCATTTTTCACTCCCCCCCCCCCCCCCCACCATCACCACTGAATCCCTGTTGTGGTTATGATTGGCACGGGCCCGAGCGACCAGTAACCATCCTTCCATCCACTGACACTTCACTGACCGTGTCTCGTACACATCCTACTATGACTATTCCATAACTAGCTGCCTTTCTGCCGCCGTCCCCTGGGCGTCCCACCTCTGACAGTGTCTCTGTCAACTGTCCCTCACTGACCGTCCCTCCACCACCCCCAGAGTCTGTTCTGTGAGCGCAACATCAGCGCGCTGCAGCTGCTGGGCGCCGGAGATGTGCTGGTGGACATGTGCTGCAGCCTGCCGCACATCGGCCGCTACCTGAGCCGCTACACGGACTCGCTGGAGACGGGCTGTCTCCAGCTGCCGACCACACTGTCAGAGGCCGTCACCGTCCGATCCAGGTGGGACCGCGGCGCCACTAGGGGAGGCCGGGCACTGCTGGCAGGGAACGTACCAGCGGCTCGGACAAAAGCTGCGTGCCAGAGATGGGTAGTGTGGTGAAATGGCAAAGCGCGCCTGTGAGTCTGTGGAATCCGTGTTCGTGGTGACCTATCTTTGATCTCGTTTTTTTTTTTGTGCTCTTTGCTTTGCCTTCAAAGGAGTGGTTTTAGCAGAAAACGCAGCTTTGCTTTTTATCACTGCTGTTACGGCCGATCCCCGTCGGACGGGTGCCACCCCTCCCTGTCTGCTGCGAGTACTGACCGCCGCTGTTCCCCGTCCACTCCGCAGTCTGCAGGCACTCAGTGCCGACGTGGGTATGGTGTGGCGCGCGCTGTCGCTGCCGCTGCTGGAGCCGCTGACGGCCGGCCGGCAGCAGCGGCTGGCGCGCCTGTGCGCCGCCTGCCTGCTGGCCGCCCTCACCGTGGCCGCCAGCGGCGCCGCCGTGGCCGCGCCCGACGAGGCCGAAACACACGCGGTCGACGTGCTGGTGCGCGCGCTGGAGGTGACCGAGTGCGTGCAGTCGGTGCTGAGAGCCTCCACACGGTCCGGTGGACACGTGAGTAGCCGACACCCCGGGGTCGGTCCCCTTACACAGCGGGCTGTACTCACTACTTCGCCGACACCCTGGAGTCGTTCTTACACGACGGGGGGGGGGGGGAGGAGCGGGGATAGGTGGTGAATTTGGTGTCGTGCAACGCAGCGCGGCTCCCTCTCGGTGTATGAGGCATATTGGTGTCGACCCTTGTTTTTTTTATGGATTTTTACCAGTTAGCTGAAA